AGATTGACATGCTGTAGCATGATAAGCTTCTGAGGAGCTGGAGGTTGTATATTAATATGCTTCAGTAGAGGAGGGAGTAGGAGCTTCTTTATTAAATTTCCAGCTTGCTCTCTTGCTGCAAAAAGGCACATTGATTCCATTACGACAATTCTGGATGTCCAGGGCGTGGTATGTCACTGAAGATTTAGTCTTTCATGATGCTTCTCTTCATGAAACTTTTAGTTGATGAGAGCTAATTTGATATGTATGCCTTATAGGGGTTGAAAAATTTCAGCAAAACTGCACGCGAATTAATTCACCGACTACAGAAAATTGACAATGATAACTACCTAGAGGTATGAGCCTCAAATCCTTTTTACACTCTTTGTTGCTGTTTTTTTTCTAGGACAAATCGTTGTTGATTCCTCATGTCTGCTGTTTGCAGTGGACACAGGAGCTTCTCAACTCAAACAACCCCAAGCTGAACAACGTCGTCGGCCAGGTTCCTGTGATGTATTTATTCCCGGTACCTTTGGATTTTGTTATGTAGGTGACTGATACCCTGTTACATTGCCTTGGAGTTATACATTGCTTCGGGGAGATGAAAACTGTTTATATTAGTTTTAGGAGAGATATATAGGCACATAAATAACCTAAATCCTGTTCATTTGAACCTTAGATGGGTATCAAAGGATGGCATTGGGAATTTTGGGTGTCTTTTGATTGGTGCTGTTATTATATTTTTTCATCATGTCAGAATTTAGTGTTTAGGAAGATTTATGGATGGCATCTTTATTGAGATTTCTGTTCATCTCCATGGTTTCTAAATAACATGTCAACATCAGCAAGCTTGTTTTCCATGGTTACGTGGGCATGGGATTTCGCCAGCTTCTCAGCCTCTGACAGTGGGAACGAACAACAACATACTAGGCAGGGGCATCAGCACGAGCACTAAATGTAATTTGGTCTGAATTTTTCAAAACCATAATTTCCTTGTTCTTTTGATCTTTGCAGAGCTGGGTTAATTCTTTCTGGTGGTAGATTGTCGATGACAATCGCCCTGTTCGCTTGGCTTATAAGCCGTACTTTTTTAGCCAACAAACATTATTTTTCTCTCACAACAAATCAGCCAACAGTACTTTCAGCCATGGCTTATTAGCCAAACAAACGGAACAAATAATGACAATATGTGCACCTCGAGCATGCACTTCCACATGCTGGGGCAGAAGTGCCCCGGGTGCAGCTCCTACAACACTCGGGAGACGAGGGCCGCATGCCCCAGGATCTGAGGCGAACGAGGCAAGTTGCAAACGCCAGGGAGATGTCGTCCGATGACTGGTGGAGATTGTCTAACAGGACGTTGCTGCGCTTAAGGCTAGCGTGAGACCCGTACTATCTCACTATTTATTTCCAGAAACATATTGTATTTTTTATTTTATCGTAGCGTTAACACGACGAACGTAGTAGTATCCTTAGGCCACGTTCGGTTCGTTCAGAACAATTCCCAGAGTCTTCCTTCAGTAATTTACGTAACAAATCAGCGGCGGATAGGGATGAAAACGGATCGGATACGAACGGATATCACTCATATTATATTTGTTTTCATATTTCTGTTCGGATTCGGATTCGGACACGGATAGCGTTCGGATACATATACGAATACGGATTGACTCGGTTACGGATACGAATAATGAGTATCGAATACGGTATGAATCGGATTCGGAGAAGGTCGGATACAAATATCTATTCGGATATTGAGTAAAAGCAGCATATATATATATATATCATACGTGCGCAAACCATTACACCACTCTATGAGTCCATAATCCATCTAGATTAAGCTGAAAGACTAAAGAGTAAAGCAACAAATAAGATAAAGATACAGATACATCATACATCAAACATCATATAAGCACCAATCTTCGCGGCATGAGTAGAAATAGCTAAGCACATTGCTTCATGGGTCTCATGGAGTCATGGTCATGGATTCAAGATCTACAATCCTTATATAGGCCATTTTTTTCATTTTGAGAAAGTTTGAACAAAATGTAGTTCAAATTTCACAAGTGTGTGACAGTTTTAGAAAGTCTGTATGAGATTTAAGAATTTGTGACTAGTGTTTGATAAAACTTTCTCAAATGGGAAAATGAGCTATGTAACAATTGTATATCTTGCTGAGATGATCAAACTTGGTATTCAGAGTTTTTTCATCTGAGGTCATTTAGTGTCTCATTTGAGCAAGTTTGACCAAGTCAAATTTGGTCAAATGAAAAAATAACACTTTGACTCTAGTATTATGAACTCTAAATGACTTCAAATTGAAAAGTTTTGAATACCAAGTTTGTTCAACTCATCAAGATCTACAATTCTTGTTTTGGTCAACTTTCCATTTGAGATAGTTTGGACGGTTCAAATTTGTGATTTTTAAATTTCGATGCTTACAAACTAGTTTTCGGAACCCTAGATTGTCTCAAATTGAAAAGTTTTGAATACCAAGTTTGTTCAGCTCATCAAGATCTACAATCCTTATATAGGCTATTTTTTCATTTGACAAAGTTTGAATAAAATGTAGTTTAAATTTCACAAGTGCGTGACATAGTTTCAGAAAGTCTATATGAGATTCAAGAATTTATGACTAGTGTTTGATAAAACTTTCTCAAATGGGAAAATGAGCTATGTAACAATTGTAGATCTTACTGAGATGATCAAACTTGGTATTCAGAGTTTTTTCATCTGAGGTCATTTAGTGTCTCATTTGAGCAAGTTTGACCAAGTCAAATTTGGTTAAATGAAAAAACAACACTTTGACTCTAGTATTATGAACTCTAAATGACTTCAAATTGAAAAGTTTTGAATACCAAGTTTGTTCAACTCATCAAGATCTACAATTCTTGTTTTGGTAAACTTTCCATTTGAGATAGTTTGGACGGTTCAAATTTGTGATTTTTAAATTTCGATACTTACAAACTAGTTTTCGGAACCCTAGATTGTCTCAAATTGAAAAGTTTTGAATACCAAGTTTGTTCAGCTCATCAAGATATACAATCCTTATATAGGCTATTTTTTATTTGAGAAAGTTTGAACAAAATGTAGTTCAAATTTCACAAGTGTGTGACATAGTTTGAGAAAGTCTATATGAGATTCAAGAATTTGTGACTAGTGTTTGATAAAACTTTCTCAAATGGAAAAATGAGCTATGTAACAATTGTATATCTTGCTGAGATGATCAAACTTGGTATTCAGAGTTTTTTCATCTGAGGTCATTTAGTGTCTCATTTGAGCAAGTTTGACCAAGTCAAATTTGGTCAAATAAAAAAACAACACTTTGACTCTAGTATTATGAACTCTAAATGACTTCAAATTGAAAAGTTTTGAATACCAAGTTTGTTCAACTTATCAAGATCTACAATTTTTGTTTTGGTCAACTTTCCATTTGAGATAGTTTGGATGGTTCAAATTTGTGATTTTTAAATTTCAACGTTTACAAACTAGTTTTCGGAACCCTAGATTGTCTCAAATTGAAAAGTTTTGAATACCAAATTTGTTCATCTCATCAAGATATACAATCCTTATATAGGCCATTTTTTCATTTGAGAAAGTTTGAACAAAATATAGTTCAAATTTCACAAGTGTGTGACATAGTTTCAGAAAGTTTATATGAGATTCAAGAATTTATGACTAGTGTTTGATAAAACTTTCTCAAATGGGAAAATGAGCTATGTAACAATTGTAGATCTTGCTGAGATGATCAAACTTGGTATTCAGAGTTTTTTCATCTGAGGTCATTTAGTGTCTCATTTGAGCAAGTTTGACCAAGTCAAATTTGGTCAAATGAAAAAACAACACTTTGACTCTAGTATTATGAACTCTAAATGACTTCAAATTGAAAAGTTTTGAATACCAAGTTTGTTCAACTCATCAAGATCTACAATTGTTGTTTTGGTCAACTTTCCATTTGAGATAGTTTGGATGGTTCAAATTTGTGATTTTTAAATTTTGAATAAATATCCGGATAATATCCGTTTTTAAATATCCGGATATATCCGATACTTATCCGGATTATCCGATATCCGCCGGATATCGGTGATATTACATCCGTATTTGATATCCGCCTAAGATATCCGTTTTAGTATCCGTATCCGAAAAAAAAAAACGGATATCCGAGTAACTATCCAGATAAGTGTTCATATTTGTTCGGTCGAATGGACGGTCGAATAAATATCCGTACCGTTTTCATCCATAGTGGCGGAGGCAGGGGGAGGCCAGCGGGGGCCATGGCCCCACCCAATGTTTGGTGCCAAAAGCTAGTACTTCTGTGCTGCATATGGCCCAAAAAACGTCCAAGCCCATGTACTGATGTATGTACGTATACGGTAAAGACTAGATAGCCCAACCGTCCAAAGTCTGGCCATCCGAGGGCCGATCACGATTTGCGATTCACGATCCTGCCGCCACACCCGCCCCGCCGCCCGGCCGTAAAGGCACCTCCGTCCGGCGTCCCCAGGTCCAGCCGTCCAGGGCTCCAGTCTCTCCATCTCCGATTCAGTCTACACATCCAGCACGCAGCACGCAGCACGGCAGCAGATAGCCAGGTATGTTCTTTGTTCTATTCTAATTTTTTATGTTCATCAGTTTAGAGCTAATGCCTAATTGGCTAATTAAACTATTATTTTTATTTGAAGGATAATCATCATGAAACTTAAAAGGACGACAATTTGACTCTTTTTACAAGGGAGACACTGCTGCTGCTAATGTTTAAATGAAACTCTTATTGATGACTTCAATGCGATTCAGACGCGCGCGCAGAACAAAACTTAAATGAAACATGTTAGTTCCTTTAACCATTCATGCTTATAGTTATATTTTTCATCACAAAATTGTCGCAACATGTATAATTAATTATTTAATAGAGATTTTGGTGTTTCAATATATGATTGAACTCTATATGCATATATAGATAATTAATTGTTGCTGCATGCACTAGACGTAGCTAGTTAGACCTTCACACAAACACACACAGCATGTCTGCCGCCCGCTTAGCTCGCCAACGCGAGCATCTAAACACGGCCGGTCCAGCAGGCACACAAGATACGGACCTCAAGTACTGCTACCTCGCCAAGGCCGCCTACGACGCCTACGACCATGGCAGGTGCCGCTATTCCCTCGACCGCATGCTGCCCGCCCTCGGCCTCGGAGACCACGGCTACGTTGCCACCGCATTCCTCTACGCCGCCGTCAACATCGTTCCCGTCGAGCACCAGCAGCACTGGATCGGCTACGTCGCGGTCGCCGATAAGGCCGAGCGCGACCGCGTCCTCGGCTACCAGTACCGGGAGATCGTGGTCGTGTGGCGCGGCACCTCGGCACTGGACGAGCTGTTCAAGGACTTGGAGGCGAACCTCCAACCGATCCATGGCGAGGAAAGCAACAAGCTGGTGCTGGTGGAGAACGGGATCCAGAGCTTGTACGCGACCAGCTGCGACTCCGACGCGTGCAAGAATAACCAAGGCAGCGCGAAAGACCAGGTCCTCGCCGAGCTCAGGCGGCTGGTGACGTACTTGAGAAACAAGTGCCCCGGTGACAAGATCCACGTGACAGCCACCGGTCACAGCCTCGGCGGCGCGCTGGCCACGCTCACCGCGTGGGCCGCCGCCGCCCACGAGGCGCTGGCCGGGGTGGTCGTCAGAGCCGTGACCTTCGGTGCCCCCCGCGTGGGCAACCAGGCGTTCTGCGACGAGCTCGTCGGGCCGCGCGGCGTCAAGGTGCACCGCGTCATCGTCGATCGGGACGTCGTGCCATCGCTGCCGCCGACTTCCTTTGGGTACGCCCACAGCTATCGGCCGGCAAACTTTAGGGCCTGTTTAGATTCATTATTATCTGCTAACAGTTAGTTGGCTAATAGCTCATATAAGCTAGCTAATTATTAACTATCTATTAGTTAGAGGGTGTTTGATTCATTATTCTCTACAAGGTATGCCCAATAATTCTTATGCGTCGCCTGTAGCACAAACTAGAAAAATGCCAATGTGAGTACCGAACTACCGATCGACGTTTGTTAGTTCAGTTGAGCACGAACCAAATGCAAGAATTTGTGTGCACCGGACATTGCGATCCTATCGTCCGATGTCCCGGCGACGAGGACATCACCATCGGCGTCGACTGCCATGCACTGGGAGTGGCACCCGGGGCCGCCCCCTGCAGTGTGCCTATCCTGGCGAGCTTCTCCCTGGACCAGATGACCACGGCGACGGCCCTGGAGGCGATGTAGACGAGGTCGGCGCTGACAACCAGTGACCGCGCCTCCACCGTCGTCGCCGACGAGGCCGTAGTTGGCGCAGTTCCACACCTTGACGGACGCGCCACCGTCCACGGACGACGACGTCGTGCTGCCGGTGTAGAGCAGCCCGTCGTGGGTCTGCAGCGCGTAGACGGAGCTCGCCTTGCCCAGGATCCTCTTGCTGCCGGGCTGAACAGCTGGATCATGCGCGCCCAGCCTGCCGCTCGCCAGGTCGATCTCCTGGATGCTGCCGTCGTTGCAGCCGCATAAGAGCTCGTCATGCGCCAGCGATGACAAGGTTGGGGAAGAGAAGGGGGAGGGTTTTTGCTGCGTACCGTTAAAAAAGATGGTTCTAAATATATTAGCTGTTATTATCTGACTCAACCAGTGAGATAGTTGTTATCTAAAGGTCTGGCTAATAATTAATTAGTCTACTATTTATATATGTTTGGATTCAAAAGAGATACAACTCCCCATTTCAAATTATAGATTATTTTGGCTTTTTCAGGTACATAGTTTTATTATGCACCTAGATATGTAATATATCTATATACATAGTAAAAGTTATGTATTTAGAAAAGCAAAAATAACATATAAATTGAAATGTATGGAGCAGTTATTAGCAAATAGCTACTATCTACCACTTATCATTAAAATGACATAGCAAAAGTTATGTATTTAGAAAAAAGGGCCAGCGGCACTCGGTCGACTATGTCGCCTGTCGCCATCGAGCGCGACCTATCTGGGTACCACGACATCGTCGGTCGTGTGGCGCGTTCCGCGACGAGCTGCACAGGTGGCGTCTGGTCATCTTTTTTGTTTTTTGGCCCTTTTTTGAAAGTTTTTCACAAATATGCCTATGGAGATATGCTTTCAAAATCTAGACCCTCACCTCAGCGCTATTGTAATTGGCGCAGAGCTTACACGTCTAGGCGCCAGTGGAATTGGCGCCTAGGTCTTGGGGCCACGTCGGCGTCGACGTAGACGTGACGGTGACATGGCAGCCATCACGACGCCGTAGACTTTGGCGCTGAGCTTGGTGCCGTAGCCTTTGGCGCTGAGCACGGCGCCAAGATCTATGGCGCTGTTATGCTGTTTAAAACCAGTGCCCCTTTCCTAGCTGAGGCTTCTTCCTTTTTTCCTCCTCCGTCTCAGGTTTTTACACTCCCCACTTCGCCCTACCTCAATCATCGGTATATTGGACCTTGGAAACTTGCATTTGATCCATAGATCTTTGAGAGCAAGGTATCCTCGCTCTCCTCCTAATTTTTTTCACATCAATTCGGTATATATTAGTTGTATTTTGCAACCGAAGAATCGTCATTACTTAGGGTTTTATGCAATTTTTAATATTTGTATTATTCAACCGTAGGATACCAAGGCGTGAAAAAGCTAGCAAGCCAAGGTAACCTTAGTGCATCTTGATATATTATGGGTTCATTGTTGTCCATCAAATGGAAACCCCTAGGTTTAGGGTTTAGTGTTTATTGCTTTCGGTTCTTAGAATGAAATTGGTTGAATTGTAGTTATGGCCGGATGACCGGAAATGCCTTCGACCCATTGCCTCTGTCTAGTGGTGTCCCGGTGCCCATGTGCTTTTGCGGTGAGCCCTGCAAGGTAGGCAAGTCCGATGAAGAGGACACGTATAGGCAGAGGTATTGGATGTGTGCCAATTTTACATTTGAGCCTACACTTCGTCAGCGCCACATTAACAAGAAGGTGAGAAGTTAATGTTGTGTAATAACTATTTTGTCTCATATGTAGTCATGCGTAGTTTATTTGGTGTGTAACATTTGAATGTATTGCAGATCCCTCCACCGCTCTGTGATTTTGAGTAGTGGATCGACACTAAGATCAAGCAGGAAGACAAGGAGTGGATGTAGAAACTGTTAAAGTGGGAGGCAGAGGACAAGGAGATGATGGAGAAGAGACGCAGAGAGGAGGCTGCAGGAAAGGAGCACAAGGAAGAGGAGGAAAGGAGGCGTGTTGCTGCGTACAGGGTGGAGAGGGAGAAGAAGCTTGAGCGTGCACGCCGAGCGAAAGAAGCGATGGAGGAGAATCCCAATGCCCTGAGGAAGAGAAAGTGGCCTCGTTGCACTCAGTAGTCTCCATGACTTGCTAGTTCTATTTTTTTCATTGTGTTGTCGTGTAATGCACTTTAAGTATGGACGTACTTAGGTCATGTACTGCGTTATTTAGTTTGTCGGCGTGTACTTCTAGTATTATTGTGTTGTTTACTATTCCCTAGTATTGGACTTTTCATTGTTTTGTTGTTTTCATTATTTGTGGTCATAATATTCAGTTTAATGTTGCGGAGTTAGTGAAACTAGTTCACGTACTGCAAATAAAACCTAACGAAGTAGTGCATTACATAATTCAACACGCACAACACATGAAATGGCATGTGAGAACATATACCAAACTAGGGTACAGAGATCTTGGACTAAACCTAACATGCCTTAGGTAATTGAAGCGAACAACAAGTACATGAAATGGCATGTGAAAACATGTACCAAAGAAGGGTACAGAGGTCTTTCGACTAAACCTAACATACCTTAGGTAATTAAACCAAACAACAAACACATGGATGTGACTCATGAATAAGATAAGTTCCTCCTAGTAGTGTGTCCACATAGCAAATTATGTCGCACCTTCTCCACAGTATCCTTCCATTGTTGGTGGTGGTGGTGACGGGGGTGGTGGCGGAGACCCATTGTTCTTGTGATTAGGGCAGGTGCAATATGGATCATTGCAGAGTGGCTCCTGTAAATTTGCACCATTGTTGTTGTCGTCGTCTTCGTCGTCCTTGTAACTGCTGCTAACTTCCCTTTCTAGATCGAAGATACGGTCCTGTAGGTAGTAGATGTACTGCTGATGCGGATAAATTGGTTGAGGATCGACGCACCTAGTGAACCCACTGTTTTCTTCGGACTCGGAAGACTATAATAAGTATGTCCTATAAGTTATAGTGCAATCGAGAAACATATTTAACAAACCAATAGTAATAGCAATTATCCATGCTCAATGTGTCGTTGTCGCTGACTCTCGGACGGAAACGCTCAATGTCTTGTATGGAGCATTTGAGGGTGTTTCCCTGCAATGAAGAAAACAACGGCAAGTTAGTAAGACACAAAATATGTGTGTTGGTATGTGTCGGGGACCCAATACCAGGGTACCTAATGAGGTGGAACTAATGACCATCGAACGTTGACACTTCCGATCAGACGAGAACGCTACTGTGTTTCTTGTCCGAACGATGAAAGACTGGTTCCACCTCGCCCGACCCCCGAGGGCTAGGCTCCGCCTCGCTCAACCCCCGAGGGCTGGCTCCGCCTCGCCCGACGTCCGTGGGCTGGCTCCACCTCACCCGACGTCCGAGGGCAATTTCCACCTCGCCCGATGGCCGAGGATAGGCTCCGCCTTGCCCGACGACCGAGGGCAGACTCTGCCTCGCCCAACGAGTACACCCTGCGCCTTCATAATGATGAGCACAGGGTACGACATGACATTCGAGTCAAACGCAGCACCAAGGACCATGCCCTGCACCGCGGCTGGAAAGTACCGCCAACGACGGGATGGGTGCTTTAGACCATTCCGGACATGGCAGAGTCTGAATAGTGTTGTAGGCGCCGCCTTCAGCCCTCGGGCGCAGAACCTGACATAGACATACGACAACCACTACGGTCCAAGAAGAGACTCACGCCCTCTATAGTGATGAACACACAGTCATCGCGCCGTCCGCCCCCCGCAGGGCTACAGGTCAACACCCTTGTCTGACACGCCGCCCGGGGGGAGGGGACGGGACATGACCACTTGCTGATCAGGTAAGGGCATGGCGTCGTCAGCACATAGGCGTCTGGCGAACGTGCCCATCCCTGACACCGTCTGGCCGTGTCAGCGAGGCTGGCTCAGCAGAAAAGGAGGACCCAACACCTTCGGAGGGGCTCCTTGGCCTCTGGTTTTTTCTCCTTTCTCCAACATGTAACCCCTGCTCCCCCTTGGTCTATAAAAGGGAGGGCAGGGCACCCCGCTAAGGGGACGGATATGCTCACAGAGAGACAAACCGACATGATTCAACAACACACATCACGCACAGCTGAGCAGCGACTAAGCTCTCGGCGACCTATCGACCATTCCATCAGAGACTTGGGGCCCGTCTCTCTCTCGGCCATTTGTACCCCCTACTACGAACCATTTTTGGTGCTAATAACACGAGTAGCAATAGACTGGACGTAGGGACATTCAGCTCGAACTAGTATAAACCTTGTGTCCTTTAGTGCACCATCCGGGCCTAACGCGCAACAATTATAAATTTACTAGCCGGTGTTGATTCGAAACACCGACAGTTGGCGCACCAGGTAGGAGCCTTTGCGCGTTCCAAATCAGGCCTCGGATGGCTAACCATGCATTCAGCTGGGTCCTGGGTGCACACGTGCATTTCGGTGACCTGGACTTCATCGTCACGATGGGAGGAGAGTTGGTGTTGGCCCATCTCTCCATCCAATCTCTCCCCTCCATTGGCTCCGGCTACCAGAGGCTTGAGGGCCAGCCCAGCGTCTCCCTTGGACCCCAGCCGTCCAGGGAGGCCCCGCGCCGCCTCGCACTCTCTCTGAAACGCTCCACACGGAGCGCCTCGACGGTGTTTCTGTTCGGTCTCCGCAACACCACGGCGACCGTAAGCCACCTTGTGGCCCAGCGCGCGATCCCGTCCCCCGCGAACAACGAGTTCGTGGGGATGATCGAAAGCATCATAGAATCCCTCCATGGCCTCCTCGCGGAAGGTCCAGGGTCAGACTCTGGCTCTGACTCTGGCAGGGGGAGCCATCATCCCTCCCGAGAATGCTTCATGGCGGAAACCTCTGAGGGACACGTCGAAAGCGCCTCCGAGAAGGAGGTCACCCCGGCAGGCAACCTCGATGATGGAACCGAAGGAAGAACGGCGGCCCCGTCCCACGTAGGGGTGGAGCAGCTAAAAGCCTAAAAATGGGAAATCAACGAGGCCAGGCAATAGCTTGTTCGGGAGTACGCGTTGGTGGATCAGGAGATCGAACGCCGTGGAGACAGTGGGCACGCATGCGCCGTGGCCCGCGACGTGAACCGAAGGATCATCGCCGACGATGAAACCCTTCCTCACTTCGCTCGGGCGAGCCAGAACATCGTCGCCGCCATGGCCTTGCTCCATGGCCTTCCAAAGGCCGTGACGCCCGAGGATCGCCGGGCCCACCTCGAAATCCGCATGCTGCTCGAGCGTGCGGCGGCGCAGCAGGCGGAAAGCTCGTTGTCTCGACGACACGAGCTCGACACCAGCCAGCGTACGCCCTCAGTAT